CTATGAGTGGTTTGCGTCACAACTTCGTGTTTTTCCAACTGGTCAATGAATTTGCATCAAGAAGCAAAAGTATAGAAGTTTGAGATGTCACCATCATTTCACTATACAATGCAAAAAAACATACGTAGGAGGACTTTCTTTGATTTGATGAATCATTTAAATGTTAATATCAGGATTGACATCTCGTAAGTAGGAGATATTGATTGCTGAAAGTAAACACTAATTTGAATACAAACTGGAGACTTATGAATATACATGTAAGGGTAAAGAGATAAGTTATTAAACACAATTTGTTTTATTCTTATTTAACAAAGCTTTCCTTCTCTTTTTCACTATTTTTTCTGTACGCTTCACAGACGACTGAGCTCGAAACCGCAAACATTACTCGAAAGGTATGAAATATCGTGCCACAAAGTGAATGATTCCCTAGCACCATCAGCTGATTTTTAAATCCTTTTAATCTTTATTTCCCCTTTCCCTTCTACTGCAACTATACTCCCCTTTTAAGGCATAAAATATATTATTTCACAATACAGGTAACTTAGGACGAAAAAGAAAATACAGTTCTTTGAACTGCGAAATCACGTCCAAAACAGATTTGTACGGGTTATCAGATGATTTCGAGTGCGGATACAATAACTCGAGTAAGTTTTTAAAAGTTAACAAAATTGCAATTTGAAGTGTCTTAAAAATTTACGAGTGCTGATTTGTCCCGAAATTGCACGAGGAAAAATCATGGAGTAATCATTGATTAATGATGGTTAATTAACTAGTGATAGAGATATCGAATTTCCTTTCTAATCTAGCGTGTGGCCTAGCGTCTCATCTTTTGTCAGATCCGGAGACGAGGTGTAATCTCTTATTCCTTCACGTTCTTTTCTCCAAACTCTTTTGTTCCTAATGGCACTCTCCGCAGGCGCACGTCCAAAACACCGCTCCAAGAAGTTGTCTGATCCAGACTTCGTGTACAATTTTCCAACGGACTCGCTGTTTCATGACGCTCTCATTCTGGAGCAGAGCAATCCTGTTGACCCCGTTCTCTTCGAACAGTCTCCCAAGTCAGAAGCTAGATCGTCTAAATCAAAAAACAGACCAGTTACAGTACCTGGAGCTTCTTCACCGCCATTCGTTCCTGACGTCGATACCAATCCTTCTCTTTCATTCGACCAGCAGCTTCAGTTGATCAAACTACAAAAGGAAAAGTTGGAGCTGGAGGTGAAAGTACTTGCCATGAGCCGCCAGGAACGCCCTCTCGAAAATTCGTTCGCAGATCTCTCCACGCGAAACGCCAGAGATGCTATTGCACCAGGACACACCAAGCGCAACATCGACTGACCACAGGATTTTGTTCCGTCCATTCAAGGTGAATATGATAAGTTAGAACTGCCCGAGTTTGTTTCGGGTTTCTTGATTATGATCAAAACCTATGATTCTTCGCTAAAGGATGCCATGTTAGCTCATCTCGAGTTACTACTCACTAAAGCAATTAGTTATTCGTGGATTAGCGTTCGTGGTTTTCATAAATTTATCGCCAAACAGGTCGAACAGCGTCGTTCGGAATGGCAGGATTTTAAGTCTATCCAAGATCAAGCCACAACCTTTTTTCGCCATTCAGATTTACGAAATACACGACAGCGAATTGACAACCCGCATCAACCCTCTCACAACGCATCCTCGGGTGATCGTCAACAGGCGGTTCCACCCACAGTCAAAAAAGCTTGCAAAACCTGGAATTACACTGGCTCTTGTGATTGCGATCCGCAAGATGAAGTTAATTACAAAGAACATCACCGCTGTCGAGTGTGCAAGGCTGATCACCCGATGCTTCATTGCTCAAAACGTCGCACACCAATCCCACCTCAATGACAACTAGGCCGAGTAATTCCAGACGAAATTTCCTCAGCGACCTCTTTGACCCGGAACGGAAATGGACATGTACAGTTTAAAACTTCAGCAGTTGTTCGACATTTAATTGCTTCTCGTCTCCAGCAGCCAAATGCCTTCGGTGCCAAGGTTTTGGTTCCTACTTCGCTCTTGCTTTCGAACTGGAGAACACTGCTTTCCAATTATCATGATAACATTGTGATCGTTTTTCTTTCGTACGGTTGGCCTGTTAATTATACAGCACACACTCCTCCTGTTTCATCATTGCATAATCATCCATCTGCTACGAACTTTGCTTCGCATGTGCAAACCTATCTTGACACTGAATTATCTTGGAATGCTATAGCCGGACCCTTCGATCATCCTCCATTTGCAGACGATTTCGTATCCTCGCCTCTTCAAACAGTGCCCAAACGTGGTACCTCGACGCGGCGCTTGGTTATGGACTTGAGTTTCCCTCACGGCTTCTCAGTCAACGATGGCATTCCTCAAGACACCTATCTGGGCGAGCATTTTAAGCTACGTTTGCCTGGCATTGATCGCCTCGTTGAATTCATTCTCGAGAAAGGTCGTAACTGTCTCGTTTTCAAGAAGGACTTGCGTCGGGCTTATCGACAGTTTCCTGTAGACCCCAAGGACTATAATTTACTGGGCTTTCGTTATAAGGGTAAATTTTATTTTGACACTCGTTGCCCTTTCGGTTTGCGTTCGTCAGCTATGATTTGCCAACGCATGACAAAGGCGGTCGTCCATATCTTCACTGAACAGGGGTTTTTCGCAGACGTTTATCTTGACGATTTTTACGGCGCGGAATATCCATCTCTTGCAGCCCAGGCCTTTTCCTGTCTCGGTCAGCTATTCCAGCATCTCGGCTTAGATTCTTCTCCTGAGAAGGACTCGCCTCCTTCAACGTCCATGATTTGTCTCGGTCTTCTTGTTGACACTGCAGCGTTCACCCTCGAGGTTCCTCCTTCACGTCTCGACGATTTACAGGCCGAACTCAAACTTTGGCAATCCTCTACCTGTTTTACTAAGAAACAACTTCAGTCCCTTTTAGGGA